TCACCCTGTTTGTGGAATTCATTCGCGTAATTTTAGCTTTTCATTTATATAAGAGTTTAAAGCTAAACATGAAACTATGCCACATAAAACTAAATAGTAAACTAAACGTCACTTCGTCGTTTTTAATGTGTATACAAGTCAAATACTTAACTATTACACTTTACAACCGTAAATGCTTTGAGAACATAAATTTTCCTGTGTGCAATTAGCTCACAGTGAGTCCATATCTAAAGTGAATGCAGCACGCTGTTGGGGGAGAGGGAAATGCCCCATGTCATTGCATTTTGTTTGCTAATGTGGGCAGATGTGGTGTGTGCAACCATTCCATTCCACTTGTCAATTATACATCGCCTTAAGCAGACCTCAATTTCACTCATACGCCCAGTTGGACAATCAATGTCGCTGGATTGGCCAACAAGCAGCTCACCCACACACAAAGACATATATATATATATATATATATAGGCGATATACACATACGTAGTGGAGACATACATAATCCTTATCAATTGTATTACTTCCGGTCAATACTAAACACTGACATATCCTATTAATTTCATAAGCAATTGAGTGCAAAACTGTAAAGCGTAGAATGGAGCGTGCTGAATGCCAGGACGCATGAGGCATGAGGCATGAGGCAAGACACGGCTTGTGGCAGGCTGAGCTCAGTTGGCTGCTGGCTGCCACGTACGTGACTCTTTTAGCTACGTTTGAGCGCATTCACAGGACATTGGCTGCTGCCAACGCCGGACGGCCAAGGACACTGCTTGAAATAGAAAGCTAAGCACTGCCACTGAAATACTTGCAACAAAAAAAACAGAAGAAACCAATCCAGCAAAATCGAAAATGGCACATTGTTCACGAGCCAGGCAATTTGGACACCTCCCATCCTCACCTGCCCTCCCTCGCCGTGTCCTTCTTCGTCTGATTGTACATTTCGCGAGATTACTGCAAACTCTCATTATTACAAACGGAAGCCCGGAAATGAAGTGGCTTACAGGATGGCAAGGATTTTGGTGTGTGTCCGCCGCCCCCTGCAACAGCTCTCCGCCAGCAGACACTCACCCACCCATTCTCATATCAATAACTAAACAAATTGTTTGGCCAACGCGCGTACAGACACATACTTTAAATTCCGCTGCTCGTTTTGCCCGGTTCGCTGCTAATGTTGTTTTAGGAGAACTTTTTTAATCTGCCCGGGCGACGCTGCTGCGACTGCTGCTGCTTCTGCTACTGCTACTGCTTCTGCTTCTGCTTCTGCTGCTGACAGAACCAATTAAGCGCAACCAAATACACCCAACAACAAGGTTGAAATTCCAACAATTTCGTTTCACATCGCTTGGCCAAGCATTTCATTTTGCTTTCCAATGCTCCCCAGCATTGGGGGTATCTCTCTTGCGCGCTCCGGTTTCCCAGTTTTCGGGTTGCTCCGCAATCAGCGTTGCCCATGGAATCTAACTGGGCTGTCCCCACCTCATATCCCTTCCGCAATATTGGTCGAGGTGTGTGTGTGTATGTCTGTGTATGTGTGGATGTGTATTTGTGCTGGTCAGGCCATGTTGTAAAACGTCAAAAGCGTTAAACGTAATTGAGCTGCGCGCTCAAATACAAATAAATAAATACCGTCATCGTCATCATCGATGTTGTTGCTGCTTTTGCTGTTGTTGTAGCTGCTGCCATATTGTCTGCTTTATTGAGAGTTGAAATGTTATTTGAAATGTTGCAACGCCAGCAACTGCCACTACAGTAGCAACAGCAGCTGTGTACCGAAAAACAATATATAGCAGACGCGGCAGCTGGCAGCCAAAAATTTGTATTTAATTTTCAACCCAACTCGCTGTCCACTGGGAAACGAATCAACAGCACAACGCAACGAAACATTTGCCATTTTCAGGGAAGCTGATTCTCTAGCTCCGATTGCTACTAGTGCTTGCCAGCAATTGCCATGTTCCACGAACTACTACATATATTTTATTCATTAATACACACATATAGTTAGCCTTGGCCAAGGCCAATAATGCACAGTACAACAGTTTTTTTTTTCATTTTGGATAGAAAATTATATTTCAATACAAATCTGGCCAATTTGTAATTTTCTTTAAGAAATTCTTAATATGTTAATTTTCTTTAAATTTTGATTCAACTCCATTTTTCAATTATAATTCCAATCTCTCCTGCTTATATTAGAGTTACAAATTGGTTTCGAAGCCGAACCAGGTTCAAGAAACACTCTTCTCAAGAGTTTTCAATTTTCACTCTGTTAAATATAAAATAAAATGTGCTTTGTAGAACCAATAGATTCTTTAAACCGAAAATTTTCATATTTTGCACTATGATTATTTTTATTTCTAATTCTAGTTGCAATTTCACAGACTTGTTATAAAAAAAAAAAAACATAATATTTCAATTTTTACAGTGTAAGCGAACAGTACGATGAAAGCAAAATATGATGATTGGAGCGCGTACTTGCGTTCTCTGTGTCAGTAGTCATTGCGAGGTGTTGGCAAATTTCCACAGCACACATTATAATTCGAATTGTCTATTTGGATTCAACTTGTGTTTCATTTAATTTGCCGATGTTTTGGTTTTGCTCTTTGGATGCGTATGAACAACGAGCTGTTCGTGTATTTGTCCCGATCCCTGCACTAATCAACTATGCAAATAACTCATACATTTTCGATTAGACAGCACTTATTAAAGCTTCGAAAATATGTTAGCTAGGTCTTGGCCTTCACATCCACTCAATGGCAAATGCAATTTTGCAGCTTCGCCTGAATTTTGTGGCTAGCAATAACAATAAAGTAAGCCACAGCAGCAACAGCAATAGAACCAGTTACAACATTGCATATCTGAGAACATCTCTATTTGCTGGGCGTATTTAAGTGAAAATAATGCATAAATTACGCCACAAGGCACTTGAACGTTTGCAGTCTCTGAGTTTAGCATAACTTATCGCATATCCTATTTATATAACAACACATTTAAGCACACCAATGCACACACGCACACACATCACATCGACGCACACATGAATATAGACGCTTATTTAATTAAATATAAATCGCTGAGCTGCTGAACATAAATTTAAACTCAACTGCGCATTGAAAAATACTCAAGTCAAACATATGATACACTAAGAAATCACTTAAATTAAATGCGATTATAGTTCCGAATTAAAGAATAGTTCTGTTTGAGCATTTCTTGTGCATATTCGTGAATAAAATGAATTAATTTCTAAATGAAAGCATTTCGCTTTTAGCCATTGATTATACAAATCAGTTGTTAGCAAATAATTACAAATTATTGGCTTTTATACCTAATTAAATTTTATTTACATTTGCGAAAATTGGTTTATAGCTGATAAAAATTAGTTTTAAATTAATATTAGCACAAAGTACAGAGAACTTGCATACAATGTTGATAATTATGCTCTAAACCATATTAGCATTTTAAACTTTATTTAACCAAATTGTTGAACATACTTGAACTTACAACATTCCATTTATTGTGATAAAACTGTTATCTGTATCATAATGAATACCAAAGTCAGTGTAGCCTGCTGGAAGATCAAACAGAAGCTCCAACGATGCCTTTTGTTGTGAGGCATTCGAATTCATTGCGCTGCAAATAAATAAAAGACGAGCCCAACCACTTTACCATTCGGCTTACTCCAATGCTATATACACACATACACGTACACACACACACGTACACACACACACACACACACACACAAAGAAGCACACACGCACACTCGCAATGCAGCAATTAATCATTGCGTTAAGGCAGCTGGAAATCAGATTGTTCGCTTGCATTACGCTCGCATGGCGTATGCGTAATGTCAAATAAATTACAATTTAGAGGCTGGTGAGTGGCGCTTTAAGAGAACCAAGCTAAAGTTGTGATGCTGCTTTAAAAACACCTGTAGCCCCAGCCAGAGCTCGTTCTGTAATCCTTTGTTAACTCCCTCTTGTTTAATTCCAAAGTTGCGAGCAATATATATATATATATATATATATATTATATATATTATATATATATAAATACAATATACTTATATAAATTCATTATTTATGCTGCATAATCAATCAATATGCTGCTTGATTTTATTATTTCTTTATTTTCATTTGTTCACCATGATTGCTGACGTTTCGTTCGCATTTTTGGGCTCCCTTCAATGGCGCATCGTCGCAGGTCCTTTGGACGTTCCCTCCAACACACCCAATCGCACGTCCCCCCGCCCACAATTTTGTCCTTCTGAGCTGCTCGCGCTGTAATTCGCGTTAGTCGCTCCAGCAATTTATATCAATACAGATCCAATCGCGTGTCCTTCGTGTTGCCCCCCTTGCATGCCCCCACTATTCTCTAAGTGTACGTGAGTGTGTAGGGGGGCTGTATCCAACTGTGTGTGTGTGTGTGTGTGTGCTGATTTGATGCTTCTTTTTTCCTTTTTGTCTTTGATTGAGCTTGTTATGTAGCCACCCGCACCACCACCACCACCACCTACACCACCACCATTACAATCCAGCAACAAATTTACCAGCCCCATTGTATTTGTCTATCTAACTGCAGTGATGCCGTCGCTGTCACCATTAGTCATGGTCGCACCACGCCCTCCATCTCAACTACCTCTCCTCTCCTCTCCTCTCTCTCTCTCTCTCTCTCTCCCTCCCTTTCTGTTTCTCTTAGATACATTTACTTTCTCTCCATCATACTTTCTCTCCATCATCTTTATTGAAGTCGTTCAAATGATTCTCTATATAGATTCGGTTTGGCGGAATTTGTATTTTTTTTTTTTTTTGGTTGCCTTTGATTCGTTGACTCTAACTGGTGCGGCGATATACATTTAAATGTCGCACGTTTCCTGCCCCTAGGTGGCGCTTTAAAGACCTAACAACATTGTGACAACTGAAGCTTCAGTTCGCTTTGACAGTCAATATTTGTTATTGATTTTGTCATAACAACATTCCCAGTGCGTCGATAAATTTGAAATAACGCATTTACCTTCCGGCCAGCTAGCACAAGCGGTGGAGGGTTTGCATCTGGGGGCGCGTTAGGATTACGGCTTTATAAATCTTGTCCAAAAAGTTTGTGCCTGCGGGAGTCGTGAGATGTCACAAGTCAACAATAGTAAGTAGTACGTAAGTGCACATTAGTTGTATAATAATTACAGTTATTCTAATGCCCGTTGTCGAGTGGTCGGAGCAAGATAAGTGACGGGGGTCCCTTAGCGTGTGTAGCTATATTTTCAATGTGGGTGTGTGTGTGCTGTGTACATATGTGTCAGCTTTCAGCAGGGTTGTCAACTCGCCACAAAACTGAACCAACTCAACAGCAGAATTCACTGGGCAACATCGTTTGAACTTGATCTACTCATTGAATAGTAATCATTCGGGTTAATTCGACTGCATTCTCCTCTCATCAGCCAAGGACTGTTAGGCTAATGACTCGAAAGCTCGACTTGTTCGATCTTTGCTGAAGATCATAAATAGTCTGGAAATCATTTTGATTGACTTGACTAAAAACTGTAGGCTTTTCTTAATCTTTTATTTAGCTCTACTTAAAGTACAAGCTGAATCTTACATTTTTGCACCCATAAATCTGAATTAAGTTGGAGGAAATCCAATAAAATAATACCCACAAACGGAAAATATGAGATATCCTATATACTTGAGGAAGCCTGTGTACTTAAATGCATTGTTAAATTATGCATCAGCTAAAATGATTTAATTTCAAAACTAGTTCGCCTAGCATTGCCCTTCTTCCATCACCACATGAGTATGGAAAGCTAAAAGTGTTTCCGGATCTCTGTGAAAGTGTGTGTGTGTGTGTGCGGAGGCGTATGTGTTGCCATGTGATGTGATGCGATGTGATGTGATGTCCTGGGGTGGGATGGGATGTTGTCGTGGTAACTTTTAATCGGCTCTGCGTCACACAGTTACTCATGAGAGTCAGATTTGGAGGCTGACAGTGGAGCAGTAGAGTGTTTTAGAGGCATTTCGCGAGAATGCTTGCACAGTCTTCGTTTTCGCCTGTCGTCAGACTATGTCAAACAGAACTTTACATTTGCATACGCCCATCAGTCAGGAGTTGCCTGCACATGTGCCCTGCACTTATCAGAGGCTTCCTCCTGTTCCAGTTGCTGATGTTGCCTCAAACTGCTGCTGCTCATTCGTCTTGTAAACATGAAGTTAAGAGCCATTAATTTAGCCGCCCAGAGCCACCCACGCACATTTGCATTGCGTTAAAATCACTTTGGTCGTAGGTATTAGTGACTCGCACGTGAGAAAGCAGCTGCCTCATCTGCCGCACCTGCCTGCCCTAGCTGCCTCAGATATCGTTCTTCCTACCGACACGTTCGTTGCAAATTTTTTAGCTACCTTGAATGCGCAAGGGAAAAGTTTCCTTCCCTTTGATTTCTGTGCCTAGGCGAAAAATGCTTAAGTGAATTTCATCATGTGCCGCTTACGAACAAGATCTTTCACACCCCTCATCTTAGCTCCCCTACCCGACCACCCCGCCACACCACCACACCAATGGCAGCCCTCGTTGTATGGTCGTGATTTACGCAAGGCTGCGAAACTTTTAATTTAATTTACTTTGATGCGATTATTTCTCGCTTACCCAATAATTGCTAGACACGGCGTATACGCAATATATCCAATTGAACCTGCCATAATATCAATGCTTATTAGGGCGCTGCCCCAAGGACTCGACTGGGGCCAGTTGTTTACAAGAACTAAAGGACACTCACCTGCCAGTTTGCCAATCGTCTGTCATTTTGTGCTGTGCTGTGCTGTACTGTGCTGTGCTGTGCTGTGTGTGTGTGTCGTTGTGTCTATGTTTTCTTTTTGTTGCCGTCTCAAGAGGCTGCCCAATGTTGATCCCTATTAGTAGCACAAACAAGTTGCCTCGGCTATCCTGGCCCCAATCCTTGGCGCAATCCAAGGATATGTGCCGATGTTATCTGCCTAGCCTGTAAGTCCTGTGGCTCAGTCCGGGGAATCGAGGGTGAGCGGTATGCAACCAGTGCGAGACAGTGTGTGCTTCCAATTGTCCATTCGGCTTAACCGCAAATCCTTTTTAACATATAAAAAGTAACGTTTTGTGGCCATTCCAGCGTTCCGCCTGCCTCTCCTATGTGTAAGTGTGTATCTGTCGGCATACATATGTATGTGGTGTATATCTGATTGTGTGTGTGTGTATGTGTGTGTTTGTTTGTGTATATTCCCATTGTTGTTGTCAACACCATTTTATACTTGCCATTGCGTAGGATGTCGTCGTCGCCGACCACATTGCCTTGGCTTAACTGCAATGTCCTCCGTCCCTGTGTCCTTGTGCGTTACGTTCAATTGAATTTGCGATATGTGAATATTTAAGCACTGTGCAGGGACAGCAGCTACCCAGAAGCAGACTCCTGTTTTTCATTGTTACAGTTGCTGCTGCTGCTTCTGCTCCTTCGACTGCGTCTGCTCTGCTGCTGCTGCTCGTAGCTTGTTGTATCCACACAACTATCATTGCTTTTGTGGCGCAACATGAGGCAGAGGGGCAGCGTGTGCGATTGAATTTTTATTGCATGATAACAGCAAACGCCAGGTAAGCTAAGCAGCGACAGGACACAGTAAAGAAGGAAGGACACATGAGCCACAGCTGACTGTAGCAAACATTGTAAATATTGCAAAATATTTGCCTCTAGAAGATTTGTGCTAACCACCGAGCAAGTTTATTGATTCGTCGCCTCGCTTTACATATTACTCAATGCCGGACGCCTAAACTGACAGCATTTGCAAAGTGACTCACGTAACGAGGAGTCTGAGGAAATAGTCATGATTGACCCAGAGACAATGACAGAGATGAGCATGAGCCAAAGCAGCAAAGATTTACGGTTATTTGTGCAGAAAATCCGCAATGCTCAAAGTACATAAATTTCTTTTGGGACATAGTAAATGTATTTAACATTTGCTGCTGTTCTCACCAGCTTAGCATTTACTATGAAAAATTAATATAATTTACAAAACACTTTATAAAATATAAATGAATTTCCTATAATTACAAATGTGTTGGGGTTTGGCTTAGATTAGATAAGCGTCATTAAAAGCAATATCTCACATATACTTTTATTGAGATTCAATTCCAATGAGCTTTAAGCCAAGATAACTCTAAATCAAAGTTGCTTTTTATTTAACTCAGCAAACCAAAGTAATCTATACTAATTATAAAAGTTAGCTTTACAGTATTATTTTGCAAGCTTTAAGATCAGAATTAATTTGAAACTTGCGTTTTATTATGCTGCACGAAGCGCTTTTTTTTCTGTGGAACCAAAAAGACGACGGCGCAGCCAGATCAATTTCGGGAAAAACTTTTTAGAAAATTGAACCGAATTTACGGCGTATTGACTAAAACTGTGGACTTAGAACAGGGGGAAGGGAAGTGATAGGCGAGACCACCCGCATGTCCAAAAGGACATTTGCCGAGATGCCTTGCGCTGCGCCTGTTTATGTTTACGTTTATGTTTATGTTTATGCGCGTATGCTGACGGAGTACGTGTGTCTGGGTGTGTTTGGGGTTTTACTGTCTGTGATTTGATGTTTACAAAAGCAAAGGATGCGGCACTGGCAGTCGCAAGGCGATGGCTTTTAGAGTGCAAAGGATGAAGGACGACGACGCAGACGACGACGACGCGTTGAGGCAGCATCAGCAGCGGCAACAGCAGGAGCAGCAGCAAGTGATTTCAATAAATTTGATGGCTTTCCATTTGCAACCCAAACTCAATCGTCTATTCGCAGTAAAAAATTTCGAATTACGCTCTGAGAAAAGAGAGGGCGCGTATGAGAGTGACACAGAGAGAGAGAGAGTGAGAGAGAGAGAGAGAGAGCAAACTGTTTTGTGGAGCACCAGAAGATGCGAGCGGGAATCCTGCCTTACTCATGACTAATACAAGCAAAGTTATTGACATGGCAGTGGGTTTAGATTTCGCCCACAACAAGGGTAACATAGCGTGCAAGTATATATACATATGTACATAGTTCCCTCATACACGCACACACCCACACACATTTAGACATACATATATATACAAGAAGTATGTCCCAATTCGAGGCTGCGTATAACTTCAAAATGACTGCTTTATGTAAATCCCACGGATAACGTTTTGCAAATTGAATTTTTAGCATTCTATTTTATTTATTTTTCACTTCTTTTTTTCGATGGTTGTGATGGTGGTTCTGCTGTCATCCTCGCTTCCACTAATATAACCCAGCAGAGAAGCTCTCAGGCCCCACCGCCATCTCCCCTGCCCCTTCCTTAGTTCCAACAGCATCCGCATTCGCATTTACTTCTATCGCTTGTGCCCTCTATCGCTCAACATTTAACAGCCCAGCTCATAGATACTTGCCCCTCCCCCTTAACTTTAGTTGCATGACAGTTAAGCCGGGCCCGGATAAGCAGCGGCAGTGGCAGTGGCAGTGGTAGTGGCAGCGACAGCAGCGCCGACATCAACGACAGCCCCGATAGCGCAATACGAACTGAACTGAAAGCCAACTGTCAGACATTGATATTAGCATTTAGGCATAGATATGTATATATGTATGTATGTTGCGTTCTGCAAACAACACACCCCTTCATCCTAACCGATGCCTAAGAGTGGCAACGAATGGACATACTAAGGATAGAGGCAAGTGATGTAGGATACTAAATTGATTAACATCATGCTCTACGCAAATCTGTTGGACACGGGACACTGTTTTTGCTTCCAAAATAAACTAATCTAAATTAAATTAATGTTAAGGACAACTGTTAATAATATATGGAGTTCACAAATACCAAAATGGAAATATTTTGAATATTCATGACACACAAGCACATTAAAAAATAAAATATATATATATATATATTTAAATACTTAAACAACTCATTTTTCTTCGTATATATTTTTGTTTTCAATTTTCGATTCATATATTCGAAATCATGCTTATAGTCAGAGTTTTTGCTGTTTAAAAACGAATGGCAATTCTGTTTACTTAATTAATTATTATATTTTGCCATTTTTTATCACGCGAACTATTTATTATCAGTTAAAGTTTTTTTTCGCTATTGGGTAAAAAAATAGTTGTAAGAAAGCGCAAATCGAC